TCACCCCTCTGTCAGTCCTTACATTGGCTTCCTGTATCCTATAGGAGTCAATTCAAAGTACTAATTAACCCATACCTATTAAGCACTGAACAATTCTAGCCCCTCTTATATCTCCTCACAGATCCATAGATATGCCCCTTCTCAGTCTCCCCGCTCTGCCCATGACCTTCTCCTCTCTGCTGCTCGCATCCGTACGGCCAACTCACGCCTGCAGGACTTTTCGCGGGTGGCTCCCTTCCTATGGAATAGCCTGCCTACCGTCATCAGACTCTCCCCTAGTCTTCATTTGTTTAAAAAGTGCCTCTCAGAGTAACCTCTACCTCACATACCTGTCTCTTGCTCTCTCCTAACTGGCAGCACTCTACTCTCTCCTCCAGCTCTGCGTCACCCCCACCTTATTTGATTGCTATTTCCTGTCCTATTGTGTTTAAGACCCCACCTCCTATAGACTCTAAGCTTGTTTGAGCAGGATCCTCTTCAACCTATCATTCCTGTAAGTTTTCTTGTAATTGTCCTATTTATAGTTAAACACCCCCTCTTATAATATTGTAAAGTGCTACTGAATCTGTTGGCGCTATTTAAACGGCAATAATAATAATAATAATAATTGTGGCACATACATATTAAAAAGACATCATAGTTACCAGAACCACTACAGCTTAATGCAGTGGTTCTGGTGTCTATAGCCTGTCCCTGCTGGCTCTGCAATCTAAGCACTGTCTTTTCAGAGAAATTGCAGCCTCGTTTCACTTCCAGTGGCAGTCACAAAGACGGTGCTTCCTAGTCCAGTGCTGCACAGTGTGTCAAACTAGTGTTCTACCCCAGGAGCCCCCAGATACTCACCTTCCCAGTTATCCGCTTCGGGAGGACTGCCTGACAGTCCTCAAAGAGCGATTACATGGCCCCCTATAGCTGGCTGTGGATCTGCCAGCAGGGCTACTGTCTGGGCTGTCAGACAGTCCCCCTGCTGGTGGGTAGTTAAAAAAATATTATTAAACGTGTTAAAAATAAATTAAATGTATTTATATATAAAACTAAAATATATATATATAAAATATATATTATATATATATAATATATATATATATATATACATCTTATATATATGTAACGTCATACGTAGTGTATTTTTAATGTTAATATAATTACATATATTAGTATTAAAATACACTTAGAATGAATTTACAATATATATATATATTTTATATTTATATATACGTATAATTACAATAATAAATAAATAAAATAAAATAAATAAATAAAATATTTAAAATAAATTTAAAATAAATTATATATACATATGTAATTTCATTCTAACTGTATTTTGTTATTAATATATATATATTGGTAACAAAATATACTTAGAATGCCATTCTATATATATCTATCTATACATAAAATACAAATAATCGCAAAAATATATATATAGCTAAATATATATAATTACACGTAGAATTTAAATACATTTATATGTATATATATTAAAATTCTAAGTGTATATTTAAGTAATCTTTTAACATAATTATGTGATTTAATTAATTAAAATTTTATTGACGTACCTGACAACCCAGGCAGAAAGTGCAGAGAATTTAATTCGCAAGCACTATGTTTAACCCTGTAACTTTCCAAGACACCATAAAACATGTACATGGGGGTTACTGTTTTACTCAGGAGACTACTCTGGACACAAATATTAGTGTTTCTAAATGATAAATTGTATTACAATGATGATATTTTCAGTAAAAGTTACTTTTTTTGCTTTTTTCACACACAAACGGCACTTTTACTGATGATATTAATGTTGTAATATGTTTTACAGTTTTGAAACACTTATGGTTGTGTTCAGTGAAGTCTCCCAAGTATAACAGTACCCCCATGTACAGGTTTTATGGTGTTTTGGAAAGTTAGAGAGTCAAATATAAGGCTTTGCTAGTTTGGTAAAGTATAATTTGCTAGTTTGGTAATGTTACCTTTGAGACCGAGTGGTAGCCCAGCAATGAGAATTACCCCCATGATTGCATACCATTTGCAAAGGTAGACAACCCAAGATATTGCAAATAGGCTATGTCTAGTCATTTTTAGTAGCCACTTAGTCACAATCACTGGCCAAATATTAGTTTTTTGCTTTTTTCACACAAAAACAAATATGAACGCTAACTTTGGCCAGTGTTTGTGACTAATTGGCTACTAAAAAAGACTGGACATACCCCACTTGCAATACCTTGGGTTGAGTAGTTTTGCAAATGGTATGCCATCATGTGGGTAATTCTCATTCCTGGGCTACCACACGGTCTCAAAGGTAACATTACTAATCTGGCAAATTTTAATGTGAAAAAAATGAAAAATGGAATGTGCTATATCTGACCCTGTAGCTTTCCAAAGCATCATAAAATCTGTTAAAGGGGGGTACTGTTGTACTTGTGAGACTTTGCTGAATACAAATATGTGCATTTTATTGCAGTAAAAGCTAACAATATTATGACATTCACAGCTAAAATGTCAGACGGAACTACAAATTTTTAACAAAATCTTAAATTTTCTTTTTTATTTTATTCATAATGAATTATTTTTCATATATGAATAGTTCATGAGAAATTAAAGCCTTGTTTCTCCTGAACAAAATGATATATAATAAGTGTGGGTGCACTTAATATAAAAGAGATTACGGTTGAACAGACATAGAGCGCAAATTACAGTTTTTGTTTACATTTTGTAATCCTGAATTTCTCCGGTCACTATGTTTGTGTGTATATGTATTAGTTTGTCTGGTCACTTTGTGTGTGTGTGTATTAATTTCTCTGGTCACTATGTATGTATTAATTTCTCTGGTCACTATGTATGTATGTGTATGTATTAATTTCTCTGGTCACTATGTATGTATGTGTATGTATTAATTTCTCTGGTCACTATGTTTGTGTGTTTATGTATTAATTTCTCTGGTCACTATGTGTGTGTGTGTGTGTGTGTGTATGTATTAATTTCTCTGGTCACTATGTCTGTGTGTGTGTGTGTGTGTGTGTATTAATTTCTCTGGTCACTATGTATGTGTGTGTGTATTAATTTCTCTGGTCACTATGTATGTGTGTGTGTATTAATTTCTCTGGTCACTATGTCTGTGTGTGTGTGTATTAATTTCTCTTTTCACTATGTCTGTGTGTGTATGTATTAAATTCTCTGGTCACTATGTGTGTATGTAAGAATACCTCTGGTCTCCATGTGTCTATGGGAGAATCTCACTAGTAACTTTGTGTTATGGGCCAATCTATCTTGTCACTATGTGTGTGCTGTTTAATAATCTATCTGGTCATCGTGTTTATAAGAGAGAATCATTCTAGTAACAATGTGTATATAGGAGGATATTTTTGTTACTCCGCTGTTTACTTGTATTGCTTCTAATGATTAAATTGATTTAAATGAACCTGACTTTGGATATTGACCTGGACCTGTCTTGATCATATCCTTCTTGGCTCCCATCTGTTATAAGATTGTGCTTAAACCTTGTCTGTACTGACCTTGTTTCTAGTCATATAATACTGATAATAAAAGAAATTATAGGATTTGCTGAACATAGAGCATGGGTTCCACTTGCACATCTTTTGAATGCTTCTGATAACATCCAGGATTGAATTTGGTTGACGTTAATACAATTACCTGCATTTAAAATCACATATATAAAATATCCCCAAAAAAAGAATAAAAAATTAAATGTAATTAGTCAATATAATCTTTGAAATCATGGTTCCAACATTGGGAGGGGTCAGAGGATTTAACTTTAAACGTAACTATACAGAGAATTAGACTACGCCGTTACTTTTTCTGTTTTACCATGTGTTAAGTTACCATTAAGATATTTGAAAAAAAGCATAGCTTGCTGGCGACAGATGACCAATGGCATTACGCCTTTGGGCTACAAGCAGAACGAGGCCTAGGCACTAGAACACAGGTAATTTTTTTTTTCAACTTTGGGAGAAGACCATGCCAATGAGGGTTTGTCTAACAAAAAACTCTGGTTAATTAAAAAAAGATTTTTTAGCTGGAGTGACCATTTAAATAGGGCACAGTCCAGTTTTTATATTAAAATGTACAAAGAAACAGTCTTTCATTACAAAGAAAACGGTCTTTGCAGGTTGTGTAATGAGCTCTTACCAAACAATACCTGCCAATCACAATGCTCATTTCATTTTCTTTCAGCACTACTGAGCTTATTCTATCAGAGATATTTTATGGGAACAGGTAGGAATTTGGGGGTCTTATACTAAAATTGTCACATTTCTACTGTTAGAAGCTTCAACTGAAAAAAAGACCCCTCAAGAAAGCCATGAAATGATATCCAACAGTGTTTTTGGAGCAAAAAAAGAACACTGTAGGTCTCCAGAGAGGAGCAGAAAGGATGGCTTATGGCTAATTATTGTTTTTTAAAAAGAAGATTAATAAAAAAAAATCCACTCAGCATAACTAACTCCAAACAGACCTGCACATGGAGCAATTGAATGTTGGGCGTTATCTACGCCTACCTTACAACATTAGGAGATATGAAATGGAGACACAAGGTGGGTGGTCCTAAAGGGCTGTGCCAGGGACACCATTTGTGTCACTGACAGTGTTCAAAATGGACGACCAGACTGACTGACAGCTGCTCTGCAGGTCCCATTTACGGTAGAATGTGGGACACCAGGGAACAAAACTGGGGCTGAAGCCTGAAATCAGGACACTTGAGGGGCATGTATTTGAATTTCTATTTTTCTTTAATTTTGTATAAAATGTGGATACTTAATTTGTACAACGATCCCTCAATGTGCTTTCTCTACAGTTCTGGTCCTATGTGACGTAACTAGGACTAGTTTAAATAAATAATAACTGCAATTAATCACTGTAATAAACTTTCATTTTGGGTCCCGCAGAGCACAGAGGTGGGAGGTGTTACTCATTGGGTTTGGAAAGTTCTTAATATCAAGTATATTTTTTGCAGATATCTGGGTGTTTCACTAGCACACAAGTCATGGTTTGCAAACACTTTCAGTATAAAGTTTATTGTTCATTACAAAGAAAATATACATAGAAATGTATCAGATGTTCCTGCTTTTTACAAAGCAAACTAGCGTTATCTATCCAAAAATTTCAGTTTTCAGGCTTTTTAGTTTTTCTTCTTGAAAACTTGAAGACATACTTCATTTTCACACGTCAGTTCCTAAAACAACAAATAACATTGTGATCTTTACTGGTGTCCTTTTAACATATGTTTTTTATTTATAAAGTAACATGCATGTTATCACAATATTCTTGTAAAAACAGTAGCTGTCACATTAGTGCGGCTATATCACATTTAGTTATATTAACTTATACATTACCAAAATAACCAACTGTTTAATGGGATTTTGCTCTTATGAATGATTAAAGGAACACTCCACCTTATTACATTCCTCTGGCTGTCAATCAGACAACTGATCCTGCTACTTCCTGGTTGTTTAGTTTACTGGAGCTAAATTTAAAAGACAGGCAATTGCTCAGAGCACCTGACTTACAAAGACTTCTCACTGAGTTGCATTGGGAAGTGTGTGATTGGACAGTCATAGCAAGTCTTCGCTGAGGAAGAAGGGGAGGGCTTGCAAAGGCTGCAGACAAGATATCTACGACTTTCAGAAGCTAGTTTTAGATATGCCCAATATAGATTTAACCAGATTTAAAAAAAAATGCATTTGATGCAGAGATTTTTATTTATTTATTTTTTTGGGGGGTGGAGTGGGGGAGGGGGGCAGCGGAGTGTCCCTTTAAATTCATATACATTTCTATGGCAGCTGGAACATCAACATCTATGTTTGGCAATAGTTTAACCCCCAAAGTTGTGACTCTGGCTCAAGGCACTTCTGCAGCCCGACCTCCATTTGTTTCTGTACAGCAGTATGAGGAAGTTTCAGCTGGTACGTATTAGCTGGTACTTACACACTCTGGACTTTTGAACTTTTGAACTGTACATACAGGCTAAGGATATTATATTTTAGTGAATACTCCCTTTGCACTAGTGGCTAAGATAACAGTGCCTTAAAAGCTATATTAATGCAGGGATATCTTTGTGAATTGGTAATGGCTTAATAGAAATCGAATTTATATGAAATATCAACATTATGGCAATTTCAGATATGTGTATATAATGTATTGGATTTTACTGATGTTATGTTTTGTTGCTGGGAGGAGTCATGCATTTTTGAGTTTTTTTTAAATATATATATAAAATTAAAATAAGGGGAGAAATGAGAAAAGGGGCATTACAACTTTGTTTTCTTATTAGACATGAATAGGAACATAGCTAGAAAATGACACATGGAAAAAACCCCGAATTGTAATAGAAAAAAATACTAATACATTTGGGGTTGTCCTTGCACCTGTTACGGGCATTTACAAATATTACTGCTGTGGTTACACACCTACTGAGTATATATATGTGTTGCCATGGCAACCTGTCTAAATGAGCGCAAAGTATACAGTATAATGTATGGGAATATAGTTGATGCTTCTAATGTGTAATGCATGGGGAATGCAGTTTAAATCAATATATTGAGCAATATATCAACTAATCTGTCTATCCATAGCTGATATATTACACTGTTCCACTGGCAGTAAATAGCTTAACTCCAGTTGCCGGGGCAACAGAATCCCCTGTGTGTGTGTGTGTGTGTGTGATGCATATTTCACATATTATTATATGAAATCTTAGAACATGGCAGAGTTCCAACACTGATAATCCTCATTTACTATGTTTCCACACATCATGCATTAATGAGATTTATTTACTATAATGGGACGGGTGGGGAACTGACACGAATGATACATTTTAGGCCAGAATAACTAGAAATAATGCTTCAGCTCAGCTATTTTACAAACTTTGCTAATTTTCCAGCTTAAACCCCTTCCCTGAATTAGTAAATTAAACTTTAGTGACCTAGTTTTCCAGGATTTACTGCTTTTTTTCACTTATTACAATGGCGACTTTTATACACACTTGGCACACACAACCCCAAATAATTGGTATCTATAAGAAATTATGAGCTAATGATGCCGTTATCCTCGTCTTGTACATGATCTCTGTGTTACTAATCATTTCTCTGCATTGCTGCAACAAAAGGGATATTATGGCGGTCACTAATGACATGCAGAATAATCAGTAGACGTGTCTACAGGGCCTAAAATCAGTGATTATCACACACTACACAATTGAAAGTCTGTGATCTGCTTTATATTGCATATCCTGAACAGTTTAAAGGAACATTATAGAGTTAGGAATACAAACCTAACACATAACGCTATAGTGTCCTAGTGTCTGATTGGTTTTAGCACAACCCCCTTTTGCAGTAAAAAGCTAAAAAAAAGTCCTTCTACTTACCTTTTCTCCAGTACCAAAACTCCCTTGGCACTGACACATGCTCCAGGGTTTTGGTCCAATCCAAAGCTGCTCATGAAGGAACATTGAAGAGGAAGGCGTTGAATTCGATAATGTCCTTATAGACTTCACATGACACTAGAGGAAATGCCTCTAGTGGCTAGCAGTTTGACAGCTGCTAAGGGTGTGTTCAAAGGGACACTATAAGTATCCAGACCACTTCAGCTCATTGAAGTGGTCTGGGTTCAGTCTCCCTAATGAACTTAGCGCTGTAATGTAAAACATTGCACTTCCAAAGAAACTGCAGTGTTTACATTGCAGCACTAAGTCTGTAGAAGCGCTTCCTGGATGTTAACAGACTTTTGGTCCACTAACTGACGCTGGACATCCTCACGTTCTTCATAAGGACATCCAACATCAGCTATTTCTCCATGGGAAAGCATTGATTCATTGCTTTCCAATGGGGAGGCCTAATGCGCATGCGGCACTCTGAGGATGCTGAACCGCAACCCAGCGTCGAGGAACATCGGTGCTGGGATCAGATTAGTAAATAAAGGGTTTTTAACCCCTTATTCAGTGGGGTGGGGTGGGGGGGCACAAAAGAGGGGGGAGACAGAGGGAGCTTTAGTGCCAGGAATGAAGCTTTGTATTCTTGGTACTATAGTATCCATTTTAGCCTTCAAGGTAAACATTTCCCTTTCTACAAATCTTGCCATCGAATAGTTAAAATGACAGAGCCACTGCCCCTAGAACCCTTTATTGAAATTAAATGGTCTGGGTGCATTTAGTGGTCCTTTAAAACAATAGCAAGCACACTGTCCTGAAATATTTTAACACAGTGTGTGACATTTTGTATCTCTGTAGGTTACTGGAAGTGTTATTGCTAAAAGATGCTTAATCTACTTTATATATAAAACCAGAATTTGAAGATGAAACATGATCTCTTTTAATATGAGGAAGTTTCATTCAGTCCTTTTTCAGCATCATAAGACTGCACATTTTTAAATAATTATCTCACCAAGTAGAGTTTGTCCCCCTCAATCCAATGTTTCCAGCCTCTGTTATTCTTCTCTCCTTTCTGGACACAGATGAGTTTGTCTCCATCCCAGGACACCAAAGTCTGCATCAAAAGATACATGATATCAGTTATCAGTCACTTGCAACATCATACAGATTGGGAGTATATTGTTTTAGAGTAGACTTTTGTTTGTCATTTGTCATTAAAATGTATGATCACCTTCACTATTTTTATTTTCCCAGAGCTCATTAGCTGTGTATTAGAGCTGCTGTTAGCACTTGTATTTAAAACAGATATATTTGCTCAATTATCTTTACTGAATGTCCACTTCTGTTTCTGTGTTTATAGACCATTTGCTCACGTACCTTAACTACGCGGTCATCCAGTCCCTTGGTCTTCTCTTCAAACTCTACCCCAACTGTGAAGTTGACCTCATAGTTCCTGAATGTGCTTGTAGTTTTGGTTTTGAAGTTGTCCCCTTCCTGGATTAGTTCCTTAGTCTGGGTTAGGTGGGCAGCGATTTTTCTTGTGGCAAAATCAATGTCTGAAAGAAAAATATTTCATATAGTGGAGGACAGCTCCATGTTCATTATTATGTCAATATTAGTGACTAAAAATAATTCCCAATGCACTTCATTTCAATATTGGTGCATAAGACCTTTCATTGTTTTTACTGGGAAATCTGTACAGTTGACGTAAACTCTGCTGCTATACTTACACATTAGGGAGCATTAACCCTTTAAGGACACATGACGGAAATATTCCGTCATGATTCCCTTTTATTCCAGAAGTTGTGTCCTTAAGGGGTTAATTAATGACCTATGGCATCATGGGCACTGACATTCTATTACCCATCAACCACAACTACACCTGCACTGACTAGACCACTACTGGCAGATTCTCACCCACTCAGATGGTGTGTAACCATTGAGCTAGTCTGGCTGTCACCAGCGAGAATAAAGAAATTATTTACACCACTCCATAGGAGACATCTGCCTCACTTCCCTATATCACCACACACTATCAATTTTAAATTCAAACTACATTACCATGGCAAACAGATTATAGTCACAGTTTAATAGTATACCCAATAATAGTATTATTATTATTTAGTGTGTCAAAATCCTGCTTACTGGTAAAAATATTTTGACACATGATGATGTCCCAAACTGTCATGGGTGCTAGGTTTTGTCAGTCATCTTGAAAATGGTTATCTAAAAAAAAGGAACGGTCTCCACAATGATCATAATAAGGTATAGTGGTTAAAGCACCAGGATTTCCTCAAAATAATTAAAAGTAGGCATGTGGCAATATATATGGATGGCAAATGAGTCAGTGAGCTGATTTTACCATGTGATGCATGTACTACCAACTCTATATAGATTTAGCAACAAAACTTGCAAATCACACACAAATTCAGTATGTGCATTTTGTACGTCAAATAGTATTAAGAATCACCCAGTTTTTCATTGCTGCTTAATATTCACAAACAAAGCAACCGTGGTTTCTTCTATATACTTTCCTCACAGCTTTACTAACAGCTCTCTCACACAAGTAAAACTAATTGTTCACACAAAAAAAACCCACAGATGCCCTCCACAGAGCTTTCCTGGTAGCAAAATGCATCCAAAAGTTGAGCAAAACTCAACACAATCTCCTACAACACTGAGCTACAGGAATAGTCAAGGATTGCTTGGGCCAGAGTGCTCATTCTTTACATAATTGTCCCCAACTAGTGTGCCATGGCTTATACATCATAGCCACATGTTATTCTCACTGCTCTACACTGTGCAACCTTGGTTGCGACTGATTCCTTAATCCAAGTGCCTGCTGTGTCCAGCAAATATGGCAAGCCATAAAATCGTAGTCATATGTTCATTCTCACTGCTCCTACACTATACAGCATGGGTCGTCAACCTGGTCCCTACCGCCCACTAGTGGGCGTTTTAGGATTCCAGGTGGGCGGTAGGGATTTCTGAGGCTAAATCCTCTTTTTAAGAGGATTTCTCCTTTTGGGCGGGCGCGAGCGGCTCTGCATGCGCAAGTCTTCAGTGACCGGCAGGAGGAAGCGCTCCCTCCTGCCAGGCCACCTTCTGGACCCCCCGGCATGGCAGCGTTCTAATCAGTCGCGGCGAGGGAGCTCTAACCTCTCTGCTCTGCTCCCTCGCGCGATGTTTGCTGATGCCGCGGGAGCCGGAATATGATGTCATATTCCGGCTCCCGGCATCCGTAGACAGTCCGCGAGGGAGCAGAGCAGAGAGGTTAGAGCTCCCTCGCTGCGTCTGATTAGCCGCCCGCCTAAGTGAAGCCCCACTGGACCCCAGGGACAGATCCACACCAGCTCTCCAGGTAGGGAGGCTGGGTGGATATTTAATATTAATAATTTGTGTGTACATGTGTTTGTCTCTAAGTGTATGTGTGTGTGTGTGTATGTGTGTGTGTCTGTAAGTGTATGTGTGTGTGTCTGTAAGTGTATGTGTGTGTGTCTGTAAGTGTATGTGTGTGTCTGTAAGTGTATGTGTGTGTCTGTGTCTGTAAGTGTATGTGTCTGTCTGTAAGTGTATGTGTCTGTCTGTAAGTGTATGTGTCTGTCTGTAAGTGTATGTGTCTGTCTGTAAGTCAGTAAGTGTGTGTGTGTCTGTGGGTCTGTCTGTGCATGTGTGAGTGTCTGTAAGTGCATGTGTGAGTATGTGTATATTTGTGTGTATGTGTTTCAATGTGAGTGTGTGTGTGTGTGTGTGTATGTGTTTGCCTGTGAGCAGAGTACTTGTAGAATAGAAGAAAGAAGGTGCAGAGTACTTGTAGAATAGGAGAAAGAAGGAGTAGAGTACTTCTAGTATAGGGGAAAGAAGGAGTAGAGTACTTCTAGTATAGGGGAAAGAAGGAGTAGAGTACTTCTAGTATAGAGGAAAGAAGGAGTAGAGTACTTGTAAAAAAGGAGAAGGAAAGAAAAGGAAAAGGAGAGAATTGTTGTTGACTAATAATAGTAAGTGGGCTACCTAGCTCAGCCTTCCTACTGGGCATTGCTATAAGGAAGGTTAAAAAATAGAAAAAAGGGGAAAAAGGTGGGAAGGGGAATTGAGGAGGGAGAGGAGGGGAGCTGACGCACAGATGAGAAATCATTTTATGAGCAAACAAAGAAGTCTTCCGATTATCACTGAAAGAGGAGACCTTCGTTTGTTCCTTATGAAAATCGAACCAGATATCAAATATTTAGTCTCGCAGCATCAACCTCAAGGATCTCATTAATCACTAGTAAAGGTAAGTTCAATTTACTTTATTGCTTCCTCATTAAACTTTATAAAGTTAAAAACATTATAAACATGCATAAAGTAGAAATAAAAAGATAAATGTACGTTCATTTATGTATTTTTTAAAACACCCTCCTTTCTAAAAAATATTCCGCGCTTGCGCGAAAACTGGTGGGCGGTAAGGAAATTTTTCCATCAAGAAAGATGCATTAGTGGGCGGTAAGTGGAAAAAGGTTGACTACCACTGCTATACAGTCTTGCTCTTTGCTTTGCATGTCAGAGAACCAGCAGCAAGTTAAGGGTTTTAACAACAATCTATTTTGTAGCATATGTATTAAACAGTACCTAGTGCCTTCATATAGCCGTCAAAGTTATCATTCTTCTCCATGACCCAGGTTCCATTGTAATTAGCCGGCATGATGTGACAGGACGGGAACAAGAACAGATGACAGAGGAGTAAATACTGCAAGGAGGGACACTTCACATGGATTTATATATTCCAGAGGAGAAAGATTGTAGGAATCGTGATAAGAGGTCTAAAAGTCACAGATTAGCTGGCATGGGACTTTATCTATAATAATTAGTTCATAGGGCAAGTCTGACACATTTACCTTTTCAGTACTGTGCAGAAAAGACCCAGCAAGGAAAACACAGGCCAAGCAATGTTCTAAACATATTAGTTTTTAAAGAAAATTATAGCAAAAATAACAAGGATTTCATTACATGTAAGAAAAATACAGTTGCAAGAAAAAGTATGTGAACCCTTTGGAATGATATGGATTTCTGCACAAATTGGTCATAAAATGTGATCTGATCATCATCTAAGTCACAACAATAGACAATCACAGTCTGCTTAAACTAATAACACACAAAGAATGAAATGTTGCCATGTTTTTATTGAACACACCATGTAAACATTCACAGTGCAGGTGGAAAAAGTATGTGAACCCTTGGATTTAATAACTGGTTGAACCTCCTTTGACAGCAATAACTTCAACCAAACGTTTCCTGTCGACACTCTTTTTCTTGCAACTGTAAGTTGTATTTTCTGCTATTATTTTTATATACACAGAAGATTTTTATTTATTTTTTTCTGATCTTTTCTCGCAGCAGCTGGTACCCAGAGTTTATCTGTTCCCTTCTGTTATTAAGGAGCATTGTGCAGCAACGCTGACAGGATTGACAAAGGCTCATTTTGTGGCCAAAACATGTCTGTACACTGTTCCTTAATAAAAGTCTGCCTGATTGAGAAAACTACTGGGTGTGCCTGCGCTCCTTTCTACTCTCAGTCAATCACTGACCTTCAATGCTTCCCTACTAGTAGAGCGACTGATTAGAGAATGAGTGGGTGATGAGAAGGTGTGATAGTTGCCCACGGATAGAAATTAATTTTTTTAATCAAATTTAAAAACAATTTAACACTGTAACATAAGATGGCACCTGCAGACTCCAGATCCCATAAAACCTGTTAGATTTCTAGAAAAAAAAATCCTGCATATGCAATACCATATAGGCTAATTTAATAAATGTTTAGTATTTTTTTTGTTTTAAATGTACATATATCATTATTGGAATTCGCAAAAATCCTATATGTGGAAGTGCCTCTTTAAAGTGGCACTTTCACCATCTGGGGACTTTTCAGAATTAGCTGACATCTCACGATCCAAATGCTCGATGGTGACATCACAGCTGTGGGTACGGTGGCCGGGGGGAGGCAGGTAAATATGATATTTACCTACCTGAACCTATCACTCATGGGCACCGCCATCTTCCTCCCTCTGTTCCTCTTCAGCTCCTGGCACTTCAGCGTCAGGAGCTGATGTCACTGCTGTACACTAGCACATGTGACAGAATAGAACATTGAGGTCTACGGAGGATCCTGCAAGACCGTGGGATCCTCCATAGACAGAGCAAATTCTCTGCAGCTGTCACTGGTGGTGACTGTTGTGATTGACTTTAAAGCTCCATCCAGAGACTAAGAAAATCAGGTGAAGTAAATAAATAGTCCTTACTTTGTCTCTGTATATGTCTTGACTGGATTGGAATTTCAGTGAAATTTCAGCATAGTCAAAGTGAGCATTTCATAATGATCCTATCTTTATGAAATACTAACTTTTCAGGTAGGGTGACAGTGCAGTTTTAACCCCTTAAGGACCAAACTTCTGGAATAAAAGGGAATCATGACATGTCACACATGTCATGTGTCCTTAAGGGGTTAAAAGCACTCCAAGCATCACCCAAAGCACTTAACATTACTGATGCACTTTAGGATTACAGTAAGTTGTGTGTCTCTGCAGGCTTAGTTTATAAAAGTCTTGATTTCAAGAGAAATCGGCACCTTTATAAAACGCCTTTGTCACCCAGTAGGGTTTCCTGCTTCACTTGCTTTGAACTATAGATCAAAGTGGAAGTGAAGGGGCTACACCAATCTTGTAATGTAATGTTCATTAAGAAGGAATGAATGTCCAGTTGTCTGCATGCGTGATTTGCCCACAAGGCTTCTCAGAGCAAAGCCTTTGATTGGACAAAGTCCAGCAAAACTAGTAAGTCTGTACAGGAAAAAAAATAAGAAATGGCTTACAAAAGCTACATAAACAAGTTCTGCAGCTCATGTAAGCATAGCTTCTTCATTCTCCCCCAAAAGATACATCAGGATAAATCTATTCTTTTTTTTTCTGTACAGTGTCCCTTTAAATACTTGTATGATGCAGATATAGGATGTATATACCAAACGAGTTGCATTAGTGTCTGTGAGTATCCAGACTGAGCTGGAGCAATTTGTTCATGTTTTGTTTGCTATTTATGCAGTAGAGTTGAATGTGATTGTACTTTCTCTGTGAAATATTGATATAGAATAAAAATGCTCTATTTATTTCTTAAGAAATTTGACCCAAAGTGCTCTTAACAGGCAGTTTTTATTTCTCTTCTTAGATATACTGTTTAATCTTGGACTTTCATTATCTAAATGATAAGACTCTGCATGAGTGGAATTTGTCCTGTTAATTTCATCACATTTGTTAGTTTATCTCAGTATTTCTCATAGCTATTCTTTTTATGTTTGCTATCATTTATTTGTTATAGTTATTTTATCTATAGAGGTTTAAAAAAAAAAATTAAATTGTGGTTGCACCTTAGAAAATGCAAGATTTTGTCTGCACATTGTGCTAGCTAATTTAAAAGCATATGAATATTTAACATTTCTTTAGGTAATTTTTTTTTTTCATTGACAGGGTTATTCACTAAATTGACAATTCACAGCCAATTTCCAACTTAAAGCCAGAGGAGCTAAACTGGAAGCATAGCTGAATTGCTATTTTGGTCTTAAATTTAAATTCACCTTGAATTCTTTTGAACTCACTACTGAATAACCCAGCATATCTCTATTTCAACACAACTCACTATTATAGTGAGATAAAACCTATAAAAAAAAAACTATAAACTATAGTTTATAAAAAACTATAAACATATGCATTACCAGGGCCGCCACCAGAAATTTTCAGGCCCCTAACTGAGCTCAGGGTCTGGGCCCCCCTCCCATCCCGTCCACAGGGTCCGCCTCCAAATCCCACCCACAGGAATACACACACAGACACAAACACACACACTGATACAAAAAGGACACAGATACACACACAGAGATACATACTAACAGACACACGTACTGAAACAGACATACACGCATATAGGCATACATACTGACACACACATACTGAGACATACACACATATATAGACACACAGGCATACATAGTGACAGACACATACTAACATACATACAGACACATACATATTCATAATGACATACATTCATATAAAATCTTTTTTTATCTTGTTGGTGTTTGTGGAGAAGTCGCACTTCTTGGTGTCAGCTGCTATTATTATATATACTGTTTGGAGATTATACTTTTACATTTATTTATTTATTTTTTAAATATTTTTAAAGCACCAGGGGGCCCGGCCATCCCTGCAACCTGGTATGTACCCACTGTGGCCAGCCTCTTCTCCTGTCACCCCACGGCCTGTCATGCAGGCGCGCAAGGGAGCACTCTCCCCTGAGTGCTTCCTCTTCAGCTCCCTACTGATACCGGAACTGGAAGATGACGTCATCTTCCGGCACCGGCATCCCTACGCGGCATGCGAGGGAGCTGAAGAGTAAGCACTCAGGGGAGAGTGCTCCCTTGCGTGCCCGCCAGCCCGCCCAGTATCTGGCCGCCCAGGAGCCGAGCAGCACCACTGGACCCCAGGGAATCCCCTCAGCACTCCAAAAGGTAAGGAGGCTGGGGGATTAAATTTAAAAAAAAGTGAGGGTTAATGTGTGTGTTATAAAACAAGGAAAATACAGGGCGCCAAATTCACCAGATGAATAAATGAGGATAAGAAAGGGGATATGATTAATGTAGTTTATTGAAGAGACCAGTAATGTCCACAAACAATCTCATAAGCAACAAAAATGTAAAGCAGAAACTGCATTTTTGTTGCTTATGAGATTGTTTGTGGACATTACTGGTGTACATCATCCTTAGAGTGATGTGAGTTGCACTCTCTCACTTTACTGCACAGTCTGCACTTTAGCATTTGCACCTTTTTATGTTATTTAGAGCTGCTATACCTATGGGTCCATTTGCCTATTAAGGCTTTTTATATATATCTTGTTTTATTATTTGCACATTGTTGGTGCATTTTATTCATTATCTAGTTTCTTCAATAAACTACATTAATCATATCCCCTTTCTTATCCTCATTTATTCATCTGGTGAATTTGGCGCCCTGTATTTTCCTTGTTTTATATTGTATGATTTAGGTTTGAGTGACCTTCTACAGTGGCTTGCCTGCACCTAGATAACACTGCACTTTACCCAACTTTGTCTTTTTGTCTTTAATGTGTGTGTTAGTGTTAGTTAGTGTGTGTTAGTTTTAGTGTGAGTGTTAGTGTGTTAGTGTGTGTGAGTGTGTCTGCTAGTGTCAGTGAGTGTGTCTGCTAGTGAGTGTCAGTGAGTGTGTTACTGTGTGTGTCTGTTACTGAGTGTGTTTGTGTGTTAGTGAGTCTGATGTCTGTTAGCGAGTGTGTGTTTGTCAGTGAGAGTGTATGTTTTGTAAGTAAGTGTGTATGTATGTCTGTCTGTTCGTGAGAGTGTGTGTGTGTCTTCAGCACTTACCTTTCTCCAGCGCCGGACTCCCTTGGCGCTGGGGATCCCTCCGCCTCTCAGCTCCGAATGCGCATTACTCAATGCTTTCCTATGGACGTTCAGTGTCTTAGAATCGCGGAAGCTCCTCTAGCGGCTGTCAGTGAGACAGCCACTAGAGGCTGGATTAACCCTCAGTGAAACATAGCAGTTTCTCTGAAACTGCTATGTTTTCAGCTGCAGGGTTAAAACTAGAGGGACCTGAAACCCAGACCACTTCATTGAGCTGATGTGATCTGTGTGTCTGTAGTGGTCCTTTAAGTGTGTGTGCATCTGCATGCACTAGCGTACATACCGCGGTCGCAGCCCTGCAACCCCTGCTACCAGGTGCCCGCCTCCATGTGTTGCAGCCACGGCCCGCGCAGAGTAAGCGTGGGGAGGAGGAGGGGGCCCACGGATCAATTTTCGCACCGGGGCCTCATGGGTCATGTGTACGCCACGGTCTTCCTCCGTATTTTTGACCCACGCCTGGTGACCACAAACCATAAAAAGGTGATTATCCCTAGCTAGACCCTCTGATATTTGATAAAGGGCATATGAGTAGCTACATGAAATAACATCTCAAAGTAGAACAGAAAGGTTGAAGGTAGTGTAGTCAGACATCTTGTTAAGTCACAGGTGTCTGTGCCATGGAGATGGACATGCAGTGTCCATTAGAAATGTCTGGAAGGAAAAGCAGTTGTAGCAGCAATTATCCTTATGACATCACAAAAATATGTCACTACTTCACAGCTAAAGACCGTAGATTAATAAACATTTTATATCAATTTAAAAGAAAATGTTATAGTTCCCAATCCAGTATCATCCCTCCATCCTCTTACTGAAATTTAGTAACTATTATGTCTGCCCATGAAATGTTGACTTCTGCAGTTTACTTTATTATCTCTTTCTTTTCAACCTCAACCCATTCAATAGTTTCAGTTTACCTCAACTATATATTTATCCTGTCATTATTATTCGAAGAGATATGTTAAATCTAAATAGAAAATCTGTTACATTTTTTTTTTTGCAAAAGATGCATTTAAAAATCTATAGTTTGTCTAATTTTCTACTCTGGCATACAATGTGAAACAAATTTACATAATTAGAATTAAGCACCTGTGACAGGGAGGGTTGCAAAACCAACCAAGTTGGTCTGTCATAATGGGGAACATTGTGGCAGCCTTATACAATGTATGATCATAAATAGTGTAACCGAATCCCCATTATTTTTACCACTCAGTGTTTTAGTGAGTGTACTGGTTGTGTGTGTGGATAGATAGATCTAAACAGGTGACAGTTCAACTGAATTTGGAGGGCTGTAGGATAAAAATAAATAACAAAACCGGATAACTGACAATAGATGCCACTATGGCAAATTTATTGTGTGTTACACAGCCTCCCCAATTTCCAGACAGACTGGCTTTCTGGCTGTGTCACTCAGTGTTGGGAATACTGTTGTAAAGTGCAGCGTGAGTGCAGATTTAATCTCACTTGTGCTGCACTTGCTGTGAAATAAAAGGAATTTAAGCCCAAATATGCCTTGGTTAAAACTCCCCTTTACAGTCAGCATGCGGTCTATGAACCTAGTCGCATCACAGCCTGATCCGCCAACCTTCTCCCTCTCCAGATTTTAGAAAGACCAAAGGTTGTATGTCTGGTGCCATCTCATCTGAGACAGAGGAGTTACTGCAGAATTATATTCAGAGCACGACTGTGGGTTGGTCTGTAAGCAATATGAACTAATTGTGCATACTAGTCATCACTTTAAACATCTAGCCATTAGAGTAGTGGGGTTAATGAGATGGTAGAACATCTTATGAAATTTTATTAATTTCAATTGTCAAGAGTAATGGGGGTAATGTCTCTCTCTTATCAGGAGATGACAGAAAATGAACATCCTGACTTATGTCTGCATTTTAGTTTGGTGTGATCATAGTAAACCTTCCACTACTGTTAGTTCTGTGGACTTTTAACTCCACATCACTCATTCCGTTACCTGCACTATAGTTACACTATGACCATTTAGTAGATAAAAATAAATATATGCCAAACATTTTCTTGCTCTCTGATAGTAAAGAGATACCCATGTTTCACCTATGCTGTTCAGTCAGATGAAGTGATACGAGGTGGAAGGAGCTGTGTGACTATAAAACACCACATTTAAAAAACTGACACACCCAATACAGGTCTAGTCCAAAATGGGTACTTATACTGTTTACCACCAGTGTACTAGTCTCACAACAGTAAGTTTTTACTAATGCTAGGGAGGTCACCAATTTTTCAATACCGACGCAACATCAGGAGAGGATGGTCTCCTCCATCCTCAATTGGATCTGCGATCGCCTCTTTTTCTGAGGGTCCTTTGATGTAGCTATAAAACCTCTTTTTCCACTTACGGTTTCCAATTTACATTTATTTATTTTTTAAAGATCCCAATCTGCCATGAACATATGTATAATATCCTCTCCCAAAAAATATTTTATCTCCTTACAAATATAAAAGTCAGCAAATGCAAATACTGCAAAAAGTGGCATTCACAAGTCATCGCAAATAAATACTGCCACTCCACTAACAAAATAATGCAGTGGCACCCCACAATTCCAAACGTACAGTCCATCTTGGATGGCATGATAATAAAGGAACATGCAAGACAGACGCCAAAGCAAGTTTAAGAAATTTGATTAGTGTTTTTAATAAAGTATCTAAAGTCACATTATAAAACAAAAATCACATTAACCTGACCCTAAAATAATAATAATACAGCAATATATGAGAGGATATTGTCTAACATCTAAGCAGGATGTCATCTTGTTCCAACCGGTCAGAGTCTGCGTCACTGGCGAACTTTCTTAAACACCTGTTTACATACTGCATCTCCCACCCGCATTTCCTACAGACAATAAAAGAAAGACAAAAAATGAAAACCATGACTCTCCTCTCCAGTGATCAATAAAATTAGTCTTTGGTGTTAATGGAATGTACATAGTACAAAATTCATCTTGGGCATAATTTGCCAAGTCAGCACATACATACGAGCCTTCTTATAAAAGACATTTATTCACATTTTACATTAACTTTGGCATTTGGAAAGAGTGTGTGAAATAATAACTCATGTCTAAAGGACACTCTCTCTTACAACACACAAAAAAAACCTCAATAAGTTTAATATATTTAATGCCCATTAAATATATAGATTTTTATGCCCTAAGGGAGAGTGTCTTTCAGACATGAGTTGTTATTTCACACTTTGTTTCTAATGGTTCATTAGTACAGGGTTTATTGAGCTTTATGGTCTGCACTACTGTTATACGGATCTTAAGGGGTATCATAAGAGATTACGACCAATCCCAAAAATGGTTTCTGAGAATGAAGTGGGTCATCTCTCTTGACCTGTAACATCTGTTAGTGGACTGCTCTTCTGTTACATCATAGCTTTTTTTCCCCCGAGTTTCAAATTAAACGTGCTTTGCCAAATATTGTAATTATTTCTTATCACAGATGAAAGAAGATAAAAATAAACATATAGAATTTTTAAATTAGTAATTGAAGCCAATAGGCTCTACAAAAGGGATGGATAGAATGGGGCTTTGTGTTTCAAGTAATCTAGTGAGACATTTGCGTGACACTCGCCACACAAACTGTTCCAGGACAGAGAAACACCACCACTGTACTGTGTCTCAGTATTAAATTAAAATAATTAGGATGTAAAGGTCATACTGGACACCACATACAGTACATGCAATTACTAAATTAACCACGCTTTTGTAGAGCCAAACATTTGTTTTTTGTAGATACAATACGTAATTTTTATTGATCAAATGAGTATGATCAGAGCAATATTTCAAGGATTTAAAAGTTCATGCTTGTGCTTTATCACAAGAATGCCAAATAAAATATCAATCAATTTCCCCTTCTTAATTTCTTTTTATCTCATGAACCTTTATCACAATGTAATGGAACCATACCAGATGTAACTCATCTCCGTCCACCCATTGCGTCCATCCACGGCCTTCCTTCTCTCCCTTCTGGACACATACCAGTTTGTCTTCTTGCCAATTGACAGTAGTCTGCAGAAGAATAGACACACGGCAACAGTTGTATGAGATCCAATGATTATGACAATATTTTATCCTGCACTAGACAGTATTTCATGACATAATGACCTAACAAAGGAAGTGGTGATTATGCCCATGGCAAGTTTCAGTTTATTTAAAAAACAAAAAAACAAAAGAGACAAACAAATAAAATTATACATACACATACATACATATATACATATACACACACATATACATATATATATACACACACACACACACAAACACACACATACACACACACACATATATTTTAATGCACTGATAGTAGTACAGTCTCTGCACCCCTGCACAAGGCTTTTGGTACACTTGCACAGTGCAAATACACTTAAAAAGCCAGTGGTGAGGATTTGGTAACTATAGTTTAATAAATCCTCGGCGTCCTTGTTGGCAGCTCTCTCTGAATAGTGATCGCACTGCTCATATTACACAATCTCCGATATCTAGAAAAGAAAGCACACAGAGGAACCTTTGTTCGTGAGCTAATTTTATTCAAATTGTGGCTTGAAGTACAAAAGTTAAATGTACGCTGCTGAAGGGTAATAAAAAGAGACAGTATAAGCACCAAAACCACTTCATCACAATGAAATGATCTGGGTGCCATATCCCTGCAATGTAAAACATTGCAATTCTTCAGGAATGTCAATGTTTACATTGCATGGTTTAAATGCTGTACCCTGACAGCCACCAGAGGAGCTCCGATGAAATTGCCAAGTGAGACTATCTAGTTAGCACAGCTCTACATTTTGTCGTGCATGTGCAGTGGCTTCGCAGTGCTTTCCTGTGGGGAAGCATTGGATTGGCAGAGATCATGAAGACTGATGGTCTTAGCCAAAGAGGCGGGCCAGCAGCGTGGGTACATTACTACAGTTAGATTAAAACTGTAGCATAAGGAATGCATGTTTGTATTAGAAATGTTATAGTGTTCCTTTAAAAATAAAGCAAACTAATGTATTATAAAGCATCTGTGGTAGAGCACAGGGTTTGGCACTCCAACGAAAAGGGACAGTACTGGTGTGGGTTCCCCTAGAAAATGCACGCCTCAAATCAAAGAAATTAGAAGGGATACTGTGGACATTCTACGCTCCAACACGTCACCTATCTGGCAGTTAACCATGCACAAAAATGCTAATCTCGGCTTGTGCTAAATGGGCTAGGCCACTAATGGGATCAGATAGCCCACTAAACATCGCACCTATAAATGCTGTTACCACCATTTCTCCAAATATTGCTCTACAGGTATGGATAAAAGGGGGTAACATCAATAGCTGACCTGTGTGAAAACAGGGAAATCATGTCCTTCCCAACATTGCAGAAAGCTTTCGACCTTCCTTACAGGGAGGTATTTACATATCTTAGATTGAAGCATATCATCATAGAACATAATCTCACAAAGGGTGTAGCCTCCAATCTATCTAGGTTGGGGCTTAGCTGTGTCGGATCACGAAACCATAATAAGCTCCTCTCCATAAGCTACAATGCCTTCCATGAAAAAGATACAGATACCAAACTCCCTTACATGACAAAATGGGAGAAAGACCTGGATGCTACATTTACCTTGAGGGAATGTCTAGACTGTATGCAGAGTACTAGGGCAGCCTCCAGGAGCCTATATTCATAGGAAGACTACTGTAAAATAGTGATGAGGTGGTATACGGACCCCCAAAAACTTGCATGTATATACCCCACAACATCCTCGGCTTGTTGGAGATGTGAGGGGGAGTGGGAACAATGCTCCACATATTCCAGGAGTGACCCAAAGTACTCACGTATTGGCAACAGGTGCAGACCCAGATTAGAAAAATCACAATGATCCGAACACCCTTTCGGCCGGAGTGATACCTGCTCCATCTAATTCCCAATCTGGCCTTAATCCCAGAATGGTCAGTACTGCTAAATTTCCTGTTAGCAGCTGAGATCTGCATAGCTGGCCATTGGAATGGTGAAACACCCGCCAACCTGCAAGAAGTTCTCCAAAAAACTGATAACACTTGCCAATTAGAAAGAATGGCCCTCCGGATAAAAGGGATGGAACTAATGGATGAGCAACTGTGGAGCAATTGGATGTTGACGTGAATTTAGCTGTGTGTACAGTGTCAAACGAAGGTACATAGATAGACAATAAGGCCTCATGTCTAACATGAGTCTACCGCTCATGTCTCCCTGGTCTTAGTGAATCTCTTTTCCCTTCTGAAAATTTTTTTTTCAACTGTTCTGTGATGCCAGGTCTATGTCACATCGGGCGTATTACATTTTGGCCAGGGCAACATACTCATCAGAGTACAAATGACAGATACATGGTGGTGAAAACATCCAAGTTAATTGTTGTGACTGTTAAGCAAATGTGTTATAGGTTGCACCATCCTACCACTACGAGATGTTAGTGAATTGTTCCAATACTTATTGAATAACTGTATTGTTTACAAACACTTCTGTGTTTGCTTCTAATATAAGTATCTGTCCATGTGAACACGAAAAATTTTACACCTGTATTATGGTAATTACGTGCATTTTCCTGCATGGCTATGCTTATTACATTTCTGTTTAATTTTTGTGGAAAACTGAAATAAAAATTGAAACATTAAAAAAATAAAACAAAAACAATAATTTTGGGTTGAAAGAAATCTATCCTTGTGGTAGAAAAGGCTATAAAATGCAACAAGGTAACCAATGTATAGATTTATTTTAGGAAGTGAAGTATATTAGAAGTACCAGAAGGCAATATATAATCAGATTGTGCCTATAGAACCAGTAGATTATTATTATTGGTATTTATAGAGAAACAACATATTCCATAGCGCTTTACAATATTATAAGAGGGGGAGATTTAAACATTATATGAGACAATTACAAAATGTTACAGGAACAATAGGTTGATGAGGACCCTGCTCAAATGAGCTTACTAGAGAATTTAATGTTTAAAAAAATTAGTCATTTTTTAATCTCAAATTCAGATATAGTGTATCAGAGTCTGCATGAGGTAATGCATGTCTAAATAGTTGCTCCTGGGATTTTATTAAACTTCATAATCTGTGATATCAGCAGTTAAGCAAGCTTTACCCATTCATCTCGCCTCCTCCTTATGCTGGTAAATGGACCTTTGAAATTTGAACCTCTATATTAAGGAGCGGCCTTGAGGGAAAGAAAAATGCCTGGTTTAAATAAACGAATGTGGCTTTCCAGATCACTGCAGAGAGTTTTCAAATTTG